CAGACTGCTGCCCTGTGGATGTCAGGATCTCTAATGTTCTGTGGGAGTTGTTACTATTACGCATTCACAGGTGACAAACGCTTCAGCAAAATCACCCCTTTTGGAGGTACTTGCTTTATTCTAGGATGGCTCACCATGTGCATATAAATAAATTAAGAGAACAAAAAAAGTATTCCCTCTTATGGGGTCGGCTACTACGATGCCGCTGGGGTCACTCAAACCCCCAGAACTGAGCCTCTACTTTGATCAATCCTCTTTGGCGTTTACGCTCTTTAGTCAGAAAATCATAGCGGTGGCGCATGAACTAATCCAGAGAAATTACGTGACCAAATAATAAAAGACACAAGCCGACAGCGTCGATATTTTTGAGAGACCATGAATGTAAATAAAACAGAGCAACTGAAAAATTCAATTCTATGATCCCATTGTACAGGTTCGATTTTATCTCAAATTTTCAGGAAATGTGCCTAAGCAGTGTAAGAATCGAATGAATGAGGAATGAAATAGTGATAAACCTTTCTAATCCAGTTTTTTCATAAATACCGGCGCGTGGAAAAATTCGCCGGGAAAATGATTGAGCTTCAAATCGATCCATCGCACTGTACGCGTCCGATGTTTCTCAAATTTCCAGGAAATGTGATTAAAGAGTGCAAGAATCGAATAGAAAAGAAAAGAAATGGTGCTAAACCTTTCTGATCGAGTTTTATAGTGAATGCCGACGGGTTAGGACCTGGCGGGTGCAAAAATTTGGGGTGAGCTAATTTTGAGCTTCAGATCGATCTGTAACCCTCGTATAATCGTCCGATTTTTTTTTTTTTATTTTCATGTGCCCACCGATTGTGAGAATCGAATGAATGAAAAAAGAAATTGTGCTGAATCTTTTTGGTCGATTTAAATTATCGATACTCTCGCTCTCGCGCCCTCTTCCATGTTGAAGGTTCTGTCCAGGTGTTCTTCACTATATTTCTGTTTAGAGCGGCTAATGCCGGCTAAAAAAATATTCTGCACCTGATTCAAGGTCTGAAACGACCAATACTTGTACCCTTTTGTATTTTTTTGTATTTTTTTTTCAGAACTTTGGTCAACGAGTGTATCCATCGAAATGATAATTATGTGAAAGTCCATACATTAAAAACGAATGGAGTCGGCTTATTTTTGATAAATTGTAGAATAAAAAACACTCCAAAAATCATAACTGAGTCCCAGGTTGCGTCGAAAGATAAAGAAAAATTTTGACGAGATCAATCAAATCAATTATAAGGTCGAAAAACAAATAGATAACTCGATTCTCAATGATAAGAAGCTCATCAATTTTACTGGACGGCTATATTTCTTACAAAGATATGCCGGAGTGAGATATTCCGATGAATTTTTATATTCAACATAAAATTGTATCAATGAAATTTTGGAACGCACTACGTGATAATATCATGTCCTAGATGTTATAAAGTTCTGACATTTGGAAAGTTTGTGGACGATACTGGAAAGCCTTGTCAAACCGTGTGCGGTATATACAAGGTTGTGTGCAGCTGCATTACGGTACTATAGAACTGCAGTGCAGTTGAATCATTATTTAGTGATTGTCACATTTAATGAATTATATATTACATTATTGTAATAAGTGATCTGTCCCCGTAGAATATTCTGATGGTACGTAAATATTTTGGTTTTTTATAGTTAAATGAATTAATAAACGTTTCATAACCTGTCAGTTATTCACTTTCATTTCTTCTATACTTTTTTTGTTCTATACTTTATTTATTCCACACAAAATTAAATGAAAAATTGTTCACCTAGTTTAAATCAAAACAATTTATTATTTGGATGAAAATTATTTAGGACCTCTCCTAGACGTTTACCATTTATTATTTTTGAGTCACAGTTTTTCAAAAAAATTTCTTTACCGCATGACGATTCACGTAATTTATTTTTTTTTTTTCAGGAGGACGGAGTGAGATTTCGTCAGAATCGCGTGTTCAAGAACTCTGATGAGGCCCTTTATACTCTTCCAGGTGCCACAAAGAGGAGAAAAACTTTAACAGATAACACACAATATCTTCTCTTCGTTCTTATATTTTTTTTATCGGCCTCCATAATAATTATTGTGGTGGAAAAGTATCTTCCTGAGCCACAACTAATCAGTAGCGAAGGCTCGTACCCAGGAAGATTTGTAGCTGAACGCGCCAGGAATCACATCGTTAATTTGACATCCCTTGGTCCTCGAGTTGCGGGAAGTTATGAAAATGAAGTTCTGGCTGTTCGTTATCTTACCACCGTTATTAATGACATTGCTCAAACAGCCAGTCCTAATCACAGAATAACTGTTGACATCACGAAACACAGTGGAGCTTTTCCACTTACATTTTTGGATGGCATGACAAATGTGTATAGAAATGTACAGAATGTTATCGTCAAACTAGGACCTAAAAAATATGCTGAACATAGTCTACTGTTGAACTGTCACTTTGATACATTTGTAGAAAGTCCTGGTAAGCACTGAAACGATTACCATCAGTACATCTCCATTTTTTATTTTTTATAGAGTATGACATTAGCCCATGGCATTCAGCAAGCATCCACTGACAATTAGGGCCAATCGACTCTCCTGAGTCAGTTCTCTCGTTAATCCCTTTCCATTGATGATTCTTCTCAATTATTCTGCTACTATTAATTGTGACCTAGAGATGGTTATTCATATAATCCAGATTGGGCTATATGAATCCAGCTTCATTCTTCATTTGCGATTCCATCTCAATATGTGCTTTCCTAGAAACCAATTCTAATTTTCAATAAACCAATTCTAAGCCTAATTGACCTCTCTCCATATTGCTAGCTGCACTTGTTGGCCATAAGACAATAATGGGTTATCTTTGATTAATTTTTAGAGTCCTAATGAATTCATGCATTATTAGCATTAGTCGTGAACAGCCTGAACTATTGACAGGTTGTTATTCTTTCATGGTAGATTTTGGGCTCGTGAAACATGATACACATTTCATTCTTTGCGTATTTTTATTAATTTATTATTTTTCTGGTATCTAGGAGGGTCTGACGATGGAGCCGGCTGTGCGGTTATGCTAGAGATACTTCGAGTGATGGCTCAAAGTCCCAAGATGTTCAAGTATAACATAATTTTTTTATTTAATGGTGCTGAAGAGAACTTACTACAGGTAAATATGGAATTGAAGTACTAGATCTAGGCGTCAGAGAATAAAGAAGCTTTTTCAACCAATTCTTTCCCATTTAGGCCTCCCATGGGTTTATAACGCAGCATTTATGGGCTAAAGAAGTGAAAGCGTTCATTAATTTGGAGGCTTGTGGGGCTGGAGGGAGAGAACTACTTTTCCAGGCGGGACCTGATGATCCATGGATGATTGAGGTAAGTATCAAATAACCAGTTTGATTCTAAGGGAGAATTTGCATGAAATTATTTCATTAACACGAGTCTTTTTATATTTTGAGATCTATTCAGAAACAGTTCCATACCCGTATGCCTCTTCATTGGCGCAGGAAATATTTCAGAGCGGAATAGTTCCAGGAGATACGGATTTTCGGATATTCAGGGATTTTGGAAAAATTTCAGGTATTTTCGATTATCCATTTCTTATTATTTTATGTCATCGAAAATGATTACAAAATATCATAAAGCTCTCGTCTAATCTTAGAATAATGTAGATGACTTTTTATTTAAGAAGTTGAATGTAGACGAACCAGAAGACACTTCAGTGGTGAAAAGTTCGAAGGAATGAGTGACTTCGCATAATCGAGACTTTTGTATTTCAATCTAATTTATTTGTTTTCTAATGGATTTGTTTCATGTATTTTCGATTCAGGAGTGGATTTCGCGTGGTCAACGAATGGCTACGTTTACCACACTCGTTTCGACACAGTCCACCAGATTCCTTTAGGATCTCTTCAACGAACTGGTGACAATATCTTGGCCCTCTCACAAGGAATTACATCAGGCCACTACCTTGGGAACACATTCCTTCAAACCACCGCCAGCGGTCTTGTATTCTTCGACTTTTTGGGAGCCTTCGTTGTCCGGTGGCCCCAGTACGTTGCTAGCATTGTAAATCTTCTGAGCATTTTCGCTGGTGCCTACTCAATATACCTGAATATTCACTATATTCGAAGGGAATTGAAATCCTATACCTACATTCTTCAAGTTTTCGTGTGCATCGGAATAATTTTGAGCTCGTGGTTGATCTCATTATTCTCGGTGACGTTCATCGCTCTAGTTTTTACGAAGCTTGGAAAAGTAATGAGTTGGTACGCTAGACCAGCTTGGTTATTTTTTTTGTATGTTTGCCCAACAGTTTCTATATCAATGCTGTGGTTCATGTTCGCCGCAAGGTATCAACGTAAAGAAGTACAATCCCCGTGGATTTTGTATCAAATGTACAGCGATGCTTATAGTATCATCTGGATGCTGATTCTATTTTGCTGCCTTATATTGGAAATACGGTCGGGATTCATTCCTCTCCACTGGGTGATCTTTCCCGCTATTGGAAATATAATTAGACACGGTTTCTTTGAAAAATGGAGAGACTGGAGATGGATATGTTATCAAGTTGGAGTCTTGAGTTTACCATATATTCAATCCTTTTATCTATCCATTGGAGCTCTTAATTTATTCATACCCATCATGGGACGCTCTGGCGCTAGCATTAACTCCGAAGTCGTTATTGCAAATATGATTTCGATTTTATTTTGCCTCATGCTGAGTTTCACAATGCCAATAGTGTTATTGGTTCGAAATGCTGGACGAGTCATCAGTGTGGTTATTGGACTGTTCTTATTATCAGCAGCTGTGCTTATCCTGACTCCGCTAGGATTTCCATACAGTGGAGATGTCACTTCACCTGCTCCGCAACGATTTATGATTATTGTAAGTCATTTTTTAATTTAATTATGTAGATTTTAAGCCAGTACTGAATGGACCATACATAATAGTACTGAAGGTTTTTATGTAGCTCTAGAGTGTTTTTTTTTTTTGAGAATGGTGTTATAGTCTTGTTACCTGAATTCAACCGTCTCTGCAAAACCTAGTCCACTGAATTAGATTTAAGTGCGTATTAGTGAATTGCATTTCTAAATTTTGCTTAAGATCAAGTATTTTATTATTATTCATCATAATATTTAATATGACGTTATTACAGATGTTGAAAATCAATAATTGTTTATCTTCTTGTTGCAGCATACTCAAAGACACTATTATGATGCACAAGGCAGCATTCGATATTCAGGTACAGGGTACTGGATTGTTGACTTGGATATGAATAGCCCACATAGTGTGCAAGCTATGGTGCCGGAAGTTGGGGCTATCATACCTACTACCAAAGACTGCGAAGAACAGCTATTCTGTGGCTTACCATACTTGATGCCTGTCACAACATTTTTATGGTAACATATTGAAATTTTCGTATTCTACAGTACTTTATTCTGCTAGAACTAAAAGTTATTAATATTTTATTTTTATTTTTAACGGAATTCGTTGCAAGTTCTTGCAAGAACTTGGAACTGGCCATCGCAAGAGAGCCTTCAGCCCGTATTAATATTTTTGTTGCTTTTACAGGAAAACTAGTTGGATTCCAGGGCCTGCCCCTATCATAAATATTCCGACAAAACTTCATTTGGTATCTAAAATAATTAATAAGGATCATGCGACATTCACTTTTAATGTAACAGGTAAATATAAATCTGTTCAAGAAACAAATATGATTGTTGTGGGGAGTTTGGGGCGAGTATCGAAATAATAGCTCGTGGTTGGAGAATTATAGTGCTTGTATTTAAGGATTTTCCACACACTTACGAGCCAAAATACACGTTTTTTAAAAATTTTTTGACAAATTATCGATGGGATTGATGTAAAAAAATATAAAGTTTTTGCGTTATTTTTTTCAAAAGTTTAAAAAAAAATGGCGAAAAATTTTCGCACCACTTTGAAACTTCGTGAGTCATTAAATAAAATGAAAAATGAAAAAACGTAAAGTTTAGCTATGTATGGACACCCTTAAATATTATGAGATGTGTTTGCATGGTCGACTTATCCTTCGGCGAAAGTGCGAGAGTTGTTCTGAACTTTCACGAGAGACAGGATACCCACACTTGCACCTTCTGCGAAGTACTCATCCAATAATTATTATTAACTCATTTTTTCTCTATCCAATTTATAGGTCCTGATCATATAGGAATAATAATATCTCCCTACAAAGGCGTGAAATTGAATCAATGGACAATACTGGACGGCGACCCTTTAGCGTGCCCTTCATGGAACAACAGAGAAGTCTACTTTGTCTACTATGCCTGTGCCTCAGACTGCATTCCTTATAATTTTTCAATAAAACTGAAAGTGCCGCAAAACCATGAAGGGCCAATTCTGACAATCGCCTTAGCAGGACACTTCCTGCATGGTGAAAATCAACAATCTTCGAAATTCAAGAGGTTTCTCCGCCAATTTCCTCCTTGGACTGTAATCACTCCTTGGACAGCTTCGTACACTTCATGGGAATTTTAGTAACAATAGAGAAAATGCATTAGAAACACAATTTCCAGCGTATCACATTTGCTTAATTCAATAAAGTCAGTATCGAATCGTTTAAGTGTTGAAAAAAGGCCCCTATTCCATTTCGGACTAGTAGAAAGTTTTTGTGATTATATTGGTCTGTTTTCTACTTCACTTTAAGGTGCGGAGAAATTCGAAAATAATGAGTTCTTTTGCCAATTTTTAACGGAATTTACTGCAAGAACAATTAGGAATTTTTATTTAACAATATGTTATCAACTGAGGAAGTATATATACACATTTATATATTTGGTCTATACACCACTTGTATTGAATTCTCCGAAGACCTCAAAATATGAGATAAAGGCAACTCCGGAACAACAAGGGCAGTTTTAACAAACAAAAATAAAAAATAACCCTTTGTATTTTCATTCGACT